GGAGGAGCACTCGAGCCAAGGCATTTGAGACTGCACTGAGCTATGATCACACCACTGCACTGCAGCTGGGTGAAAGAGTGAGACTGCAACTCAGAAAAAGTGGCAAAATTGAATGAAAAGGGCTCCTAATCTCTCTCACAGGCACTCAAGTGAACCTTCCAGCACCACAGTCCACCTGCAGACAGTCGGGAGAGGGGGCAGAGGGCAGCCCTGCAGGTGCTGCACTTGCAAATCTAAACACCAGTGGACAGGGAGCATCGTGACCAGACACCCACTTATCCTCTCTCGGCTAATGAAGAACCCAGGCAGTGGCTCCAGGCGAGATCCTGTGCGACCTCCAGTCCAGAGGGGGCACAGCCGAGTGGCCCCATGCCCTGCATTCAGGTCCCAGTTGCAACTCTGCCTCTGCCACACCGTGTATCTGGGCAGGGCTCTTGATTTCTCTAACCCTTACTTTGTTCCTCTAAAATGGAGATTATGATACCTCATGGGAATGTTGGTAGGATCAGAAACAAGGTTTATAAAATGCTCTTACAGAGAAATCCAGCAGTTCCAGGGCAGAGGCTGGATTGTCCTGGACAGACTTGAGGAGACCAAAGCAGCCTTCACTTCTCATGGGATTCCTGGACACCTGAGAAACACACACCCAAAGCTGCAAGAGGCCAGGTCCAGGGAAGCCAGAGAGCAACGTGAAAGGGAAGTGGGGGGTTCCTCATCTCTGGGGACATAGCTGAATGGCCCCACTGTCTCAGCTCAGAAGGTGTCTCCATCAGACAGTCAGACAGAATGCTCTGGTGAGGCTGTGGGGCCGGGGGAGAGAGGAAAGGAGATGCCTCTGACTGATACAGACATGCAAGACAAACCTTTGCCTTTAAGAAATTGCCGGCTGGGGAGAGGGGAAGGACAGGGAGCATCATGAAATGCGGTGTGATCAGCACAGTGAGCGGGTGTGCTCCAGCTCCCCTGGGAGGGAATGGCTGGGAGGGGAGGAAATCCCCGAGCTGAGCTCCCCAAGTGAGGTGGGCAGAACTGGACACTTCAGCAAGAACAGCAGAGAAGCAAAGGAGGGGATGAAAAATAGTACTCTGGGCCGGGCGCGGTGGCTCAAGCCTGTAATCCCAGCACTTTGGGAGGCCAAGGCGGGTGGATCACGAGGTCAAGAGATCGAGACCATCCTGGTCAACATGGTGAAACCCCGTCT